GCGTTTCTGCGTTGTAGATGGCCTGTGCGAATGCCTTCGCGCAGGCTCGGTGATGACATGTAGCGTTCTGTTGAGAATCTAAGTACTGCGGCGTTTCTGCTTTGTAGATGGCCTGCGCGAATGCCTTCGCGCAAGCTTGTAGACGGCATGTGGCGTACAGTTGAGAGACGAAGTACTGCGATGTCTCTGCTTCGCTGGAGACCTGTGTGACGACCTGCGTGAAGACCTTCATGGAGACCTGCGCGTAGACCTGCGCGGAGATCTGCGCGGAGACCTGTGTGGGGATCTGCGTGGAGATCGGTGAGGAGATCGACGTGGTTAATAGCCTGACGAACTGTGCCTGTAGGGAGACCTGTGGGTTCGCGAATGTCCTGGTGAATCCCTCGACGATCTATGGGACGAAGATGTCTTGTATACTGTAGCTGACGGTCTTCATCTGAGTTCGCACTTGGGGAGTGGTGACTGGTCCTTCGCGAAGGCTTTCGCGAAGGCTGGTCCGAGTCAAGGTCCGGGGTTGAGCGATTCTTCCTTCATGAACGCTTCCGTGAACGTTGATCATCCGAGTCCGTAGCAAGTGAAGATCATGTAGCCCTTCGCGGAGGTCTTCGCGAATGCTGATCGTCCGGGTCCTCCACAGGTGTAGACTGGGTCTATCTTCGCGGAGGCTGGTCCGTTGAAGTTCTGACTTCCTTCGCGAAGGCCTTCATGATGCTGGTAGAAGTCTCGCTGATGGCAGACCCCTCAGAGACGACGTCTGCGTTGGAACCTCGCGAAGGCTCGGGACCTCGTTGTGGGCTGTGACTTCTTCTCCAGGCCGTAACGCTGCTCCATCATCTCCTGCATAAAGTCCCCAGAGTTGAAGGTCTGCGGTGGTAGTAGCGCTGCCCTTTCTGCGGTGATAGCGACGTGGCCCACAGGACGCTCATCTGTTGTCATCGTAGATACCTCGGGTATCATGGAGATCTGCGCTGAAGTCACCGTAGCTGAGACTGTCCTTGTAGTCTGCGCAGACGTCCCTGTAGAGTTGGTCATCATCTGAGGGGTGTGTAGCCTTCTCTGGGTAGAGGATGGCGTCTTTTCGTCGTCTGCGATGATTGTAGAGCTGCCCACTCTGCGTTGATAGCGATATGGTCCGGGGATCGCTCATCTGTCGCCCTTGGACTGCGTGCTGTATCTCTGGGATGAACAGCAGCGGCTCAACATGAAGCCCTCTCACTGCCATCAGGATGATGTCTGTGAGGCTTCATTCTGCGCAGAGGATGGCATCTTCTTCTACGTCTGCGTTGAGGGGTTGTCCGATGTAGAAGCCAGCGTCTTCGAAGTAATGGCGGACAACATCCCACGCCCATCCTCCGAGGATACCTCCGGCAGGTCACTTGATGGTAGTAAGTCGTCTAACAGCAGTAGACAGCTCGTGAGGGACTCAGCCAGTTTATCCATGACTTGGAAAGTCACCTGGATAGTCGCTAGTACTACAGAGAAAAATTATTTATTAAATTGAATTTTAATTAAATGCTGATAAAGATTACAGCTATAGCTGGAAGTACATGTTGTTGTGCAGCTAGGGCACAATCAATGCGGGTCTGTAGCAGCGAACCTAAACCTACAACGAAAATAGGTTTTCATGAAATGTAAACAATTGAACAAACACGGACAATTCCATGAATAAACAGTGCTAAATACGATTAAATATCAAACGATATTGTTGAAGGATACTAACTAAACCTCTATAAAAGTATAATAGAGGAAAATAACTAATTAAATAAAGGATATAGTGCCGTATAGGAGACACAGGCGCGCTCTCACAACCTGCCCACAGGGCAAAGAAGGAGAGAGTGAGGCACGTGGGGACGGTGGCGCCACAGTTTCCCGCCTTAACAGCTGGGAGGGTAACTCTTGGCAGGAGTGATTTTACGTCTGTTCTTTATTGAAGGGAACTTCAATAGGAGATACAAGTGTTCCACTACAGTTCGCAAGAAGGAGACAAGCAAATAAGCATGAGTCAGGATAAGGAAAAATTACTAACTGTTCACCAGTCTTTGAATCTGGAGTTATGTTCTGCTAATATTCACATTTAATACATGAGTAATGAATGAAAAAAATATAAATAATTAGAATCTTAAATTCGCAATAATTTCTGGTTGTACTGTATATGATATTATCTGAGGGCATACCATTATCCAAGAGGTACGAAATGACAGATCTTTTTCATCTGCAATTTTTTTAGAAATATTATACCCCATTGTGTTGTGATGACTAATATCTCATTAACCACATTACCACAATATGTGAAATTTTGGATATGGCTTTGCTAATGATTCCTTCAAAATAAAATGGAAGCTTTTCAAATATTGGATATCGAAAATATACTTAGGTTATGCCAACTACTTTTTGACCGACCCTCGTATGGTTTTACGTCCTTTTAGCAATATTCCAGCAATATTACAACAGGGGACACCAGAAATAGGCTTCACACATTGTACCCATGTGGGGAATCAAACCCAGGTCTTTGGTATGACGAGCGGATGTTTTACCCACTAGGCTACCCCACCAACACTTTTATCAAAAGCTTTACTACATCACTGAATACAGTTCTACCAACACTTTTATCAAAAGCTTTACCTACATCACTGAATACAGTTCTACCAACACTTTTATCAAAAGCTTTACCTACATCACTGAATACAGTTCCACCAACACTTTTATCAAAAGCTTTACCTACATCACTGAATACAGTTCTACCAACCCTCTTATCAAAAGCTTTACCTACATCACTGAATACAGTTCCACCAACACTTTTATCAAAAGCTTTACCTACATCACTGAATACAGTTCTACCAACCCTTTTATCAAAAGCTTTACCTACGTCACTGAATACAGTTCCACTAACACTTTTATCAAAAGCTTTACCTACATCACTGAATACAGCTCCACCAACACTTTTATCAAAAGCTTTACCTACATCACTAAATACAGTTCTACCAACACTTTTTTCAAAAGCTTTACCTACATCACTGAATACAGTTCTACCAACCCTTTTATCAAAAGCTTTACCTACATCACTGAATACAGTTCTACCAGAGACTATATAATAGAGGGACGACCCTCTAGCCAGTGCGCAAAACCATCAGCGCTACGGCTTGTACTGCGCAGCCTATCCGGAAGCTGGCGAAAACGTGTGTTGACTTCAGTCATCGATTTAGCGTGATTTTCATTGCAAAGGTAAGATTTGATTTTTTTCATGTATACTCATGCCTTTACTTACATTTGCAACAGTGCATTAGAGGTGTATTAGGGGTGCTTAAGCATATATTTGTCTTTGTATTTGATGAAAACTGTCATATGTGCTCGTCGTTCTGTGAGAACAATGGCGGAGGTGTAAAATCGGCAAAAGTCCCGATTTTGATTTTCAATAACGGATACTAATTCTCAATGCAAATCCTTAGTTACCGGGGTGTCATGAAAGAAAATAAGATAAAGATTTGTATAGGGGCATTTATAAGTCTGTGGTGTTCGCGTCATTCCTTATTTTGGCTCGTGCAATGCGATGAAATATGATGTTTTCCGAAATATTTTACTCCACAACACTTGATTTTCGCACGCTTTCACAAGAACAGCTTATTACTAGCATGTTTAAAATAAACATGTGAACATTCGCGGCGATTTCCTCTTTTGCGTGGTACACCTTTTATATGGCTACGATCGGTATTTTATTTTTTATGATTTTTGGCGTAAACCCATATTTGCGTCGTATACTGAACATTTCAATTATCATGTAGCAGATGACATAACATTCATTTTGTTCATTAATATGACGTGAATATATATTTAAAGGTCACATGCAACCAAAAAATCAAACATAATTAAAACACAATTATCACTTCTTCATGACATATAATATGCATAGCTGATTATGAAAAAACAAATAAACAAAATTATAAGCGTATAATCGCAAATCAAAAGTGCAATATTTTGTACTTGGGTTTACCTCCCTCGAAACGAAGCAGCCGGGATACCGAACCCAGTCAGAGCGGGTGGGTGTGCACTCAAGTGTAACGGCTGGTTCATTAGCAGATGCCGCCTTCAGGCCTCATATTGTGTGTGTATATAGAGATGATGGGTTTTGTAAATACATGCTCATTTTTTGTGTATAACATTTTGCAATCAACAGACATCATAACATGTCATGTGTTCAAGTATCACACCTGCCTGTCTGTGTAATTACATAATGTGACAGAGACCGAACTCGGGCCATAAATCAATGCGTTTTGTTTATGGTGTATAGCCTGATTGGTGTTAAGTTCGAATTGCATGTGGTCAGTGATTGCAGTTGTGTATTGAATATTTTCATTAGCAGACAGGCAGGCAGACACATAGTTGTCAATAAAACAAGACATTGAGTTTTGTCTGTGACAACGACATATCTATATCACAGTTAGAAACTGAGTCAACGCTAAATAATGACATTGCTTTTAAGTATCGAACTGAGAAAGCGCCTCGTAAGAAGAACGCAGGGTGAAATAGACAAATGAAATTATATAAACAGTTAATTTACTGTCATAACATATAAAAGTTCGCGCCTGAGATATCAACAAAACATTAGAAAAATAGCTCACACCAAGGCCTTCACCGAGTATTCACCCGACAACCCGCTTCCAAGCTGCGCGAACCTATTTACTTGCGCACGTGCTATGGGCGCAGCCCAGCTGTTGAAACCCGTTTCCCCAGAAATCTCTGGGGAAAATTAGTGAAACGTTTGAACTCCGATTTCGCGCGGTTTTTTTCATCGCGTTATTTTTCAACTTTATAAGTTGAATTTGCATTTTTGACTATTTGTTTCGCTATGTCCATACCGAAAGGTATCAGAATCTGCAAAGTTGTGTTTTACGTTGCATGTGACCTTTAAATGATTCTACAAAAGTCTCATTCACCTAATCATTTGAAAAAAGTACATATTTCCATTATTGTTCATTTTGATGATTATATTTGTGGAAAAGGTCCTTATTTATCATGTAACAATTCATATATTTTTCTGTTATCATTATTCTTCCTACTGAATTTGAGTTATATTGCTATATATTATTTAATTATTATACAGTACCAGCAGCCTGACTTTATGCAATAATGAATCAACATTTTATTATCATTACACTATTTATATAATAAATTATCATTTGTTTGGCAGATGCCCAGGAAAAAGAAAGTTTTCATCGGCAGTCGACGGAAGGGCTACTCAAAGTGGGGTCCGAAACAAAAAGGTGTCAGTTCTTCCTCTCTCTCTGACATTCTTATCCATCAGTTCAATCAACTGTTCTCGACGATTGCAGGTAAGTAATAATGGAAGTAAGAAATTCACAAATGATGTCTTTGAAAAAAAAAGAGTAATTTTGTGTTGATATTTTGTAGTTATCTGGTACCTGCAGAAATAAGTTTAAAATATCAAAGCAATTGTATAATCAAATATTAATATTGTTTCCTTTCTTATGTAAAAAACAATGGTATAGTGTAAATTATTAAATACAATATTCCCATCTTGAGTAAGTAACTAGACCTTGTTTGAAAGAGCATTGGGAACCAACTACTGCATAATTTTAACAACTATTTAGAACACTTCAAATTTATTTTTTTAAATTAATATTGTGCAACTCCATTTTCAGTTCAAGAGATGCACTGTGGGACAAAGCATGGAAGTCATTCTTCATTGACTTCACCGATGAACCCACAGATACCCCATGCCTGGAAGAAGCGAAAGAATCTGATGGTTGTTCGGCTGATGAATTCTTTGGGTTTATTTGACACAATTCACCAGTATGATCCGGACAACAATGTAGATGAATTTGTTGATGGCATCCTGCGATACCAGCAATATTTAACATTAAAAAAGGAGCTGTTTCAGCATGTAGATGAGCTAGGCAATTTTACAATTGCAAGAAACAAGCATGAAAACATTACTATTGTGCAGTTTTATGACTGACGTAGCTCAGTCCAGCTTTCAGTAGTCATCAAGCCATCCTTTACATCAGCAATATATGCACATCGACGTGACTTTGGCCCAACTCATGAATTCTGCATTGGTTTACCTGCATTTTTCTCCACTCTAAGAGATATGAAGAAACTTTTATCAAAACTGTCTACATGCGTTGGCAATTATGAAGACAGATTTGCAGACTTGATTCCAGTTGGTGCAGGCATAAGTGAAGGAGCTATTTCAACAATATCTGCCTAATAATTTAAACATGTAATAAAGTACTTGAGTAGAAATTATGGAAATTAAAATCCAATGTACAGTTCACTTCATGGATATCTAAAATATCTGTTAATGAAGTTATATTAAGATTGTGTTCAGATTTGTATGGTTTTATGTTTTACATTCACAATCAGTCCTAAATGGACAACATAACTATGCAGGTTGTGTTGCAAGAAGTTATCATTTTCCCTTATTTTATCATGACTACAATTAATATATTTTTCTGTTATCATTATTCTTCCTAATGAAGTTTGATTATGAGTTTACCTGGGCTTAGACAGTACCTACAACCTGTCTTATGCAACAACAAAAATGAAACATTAACTCATTATTCAACATTATATTTATATCATAAAATTATTATTTGTTTTGTAGATGCCCAGGAAAAAGAAAGTTTTCATCGGAAGGGCTAGTCAAAGAGCCTACTATTAAGTACAATATTCCCATTTTGATTAAGTAGATATACCTTGTTTGAAAGAGCATTGGCAACCAACTATTGCATAATTTTAATTTCAAATTCAGTTTAGAGCTTATTTGCAACAGTTGAAATTCACATTTACTGTGTTTTTAATGAAAGAATATCTAAATGGTTGAATTTAGTAATACATGATTGTACATACAGATCTATGGTCCTAGTCTACAATAAATACATTGTACATATAAGAACGTGTGATGTTGTGTTTTAATGTTATTGGTTGCATTTTCCTGCCAAGTTAAAGTTGACACTTTGCTGAAATTTTTAATTGATAGGGTCATGTAGTACTGCCCATTTAACACATATATTTCATGGGCTTGGAGGCAAGTGACTTTAGTATTTAGTGGCTTCCCTTTGAAAAACAACAACAAGTGTCTCCAAACGGCCCAAAGCATAATCACTGCTAGCCCCAAACTGGCATTATAAAAACATTAACGCTCTTGGAAAATGTGAAATCGTGTTTCGTTGGGACTATAAACTTTGTAATAAACACCAGTCAGTCACAGGCCCTCGTGTCTTTCCGAGGATTCATGATTTTAATAATATTGTTTTTGAGATGACACCCCGACTCGAAATGCTTCACAGTACAATACATAATGACAAGGCCGGACACTTCTAGGGTGCACCCTACCCGACTGCGTTGCTGATCGCTACGCTACCATCGCATGCAATCGATTAAGACTTTATGCAGGGATACTCTACAATAGGGATAGGTCACTCGCTTGCTTTCTTTACCATTTGTACTAATTAACGTGTGCCTCGTCATGCTCCAACGCACACAGTGACTTGGTTCGGTCCCAGCTCAACTTCGACTGCGTTTAACAGTACTTCAGCCAGTGTATTTTATACGTAGTAATTTTACAATGAATGAATAAATGAATTAAGAGCAAGAATTTTATGTGAATGAATGAAAGAAATTAAGAAAAAGAACAAAAGAAAAAGAACATATGTGAATGAATGAAAGAATAAATGATACACCACGGCCGTCCCTATCCAAACATGTTAAAGAACGCAAAACTATCGGTAGAACACATGTTAACATCAGCTGTCCTTTTTCCAAAATTACTTTGAGACATTTTTTTACATTAGTAACTAATTCAGATATCTTATTGCATGTGTGGAATGACATGGGCATTGACAGAATGTTAACTGACACTGTCACAGACCCCCCAAGAACAGAAAGTTTAGAACTATCACAAAGCCTTGCAAACACCTTTCCAGTTTTGTCAAATACTAAGATCAACAAGAAAGAAAGAAGTTTTAGAACTATAACACTCAAGCATCACAAGCACCAATGGCGTATCAGAACAGATATGTCATATTTTTCACACACCTCAAATACACACTAACAAAAAAAATAAAATAAAACAATCACTATTACTTGCAAAAAACTTTCACCTGATGGTATATTCCCCTCATAAAAATTGAAGGTGTATGTGAAAGATGTTTTTGAACACTAACTAGAAACACTCAAACAACGCCCTGTAGTATTTCAATGGCAGATCGGCGATATGTCATATTTTTTACACACCTCAAGTACACACTAACACTTTTTTTAAAGTATAAAACTATCACTATTACTTGCAAACACCTTTCACCTGATGGTATATTCCCCTCATAAAAATTGAAGGTGTATGTGAAAGATGTTTTGAACACTAACTAGAAACACTCAAACAACGCCCCTGTAGTATTTCAATGGCAGATCGTGATATGTCATATTTTTTACACACCTCAAGTACACACTAACACTTTTTTTAAAGTATAAAACTATCACTATTACTTGCAAACACCTTTCACCTGATGGTATATTCCCCTCATAAAAATTGAAGGTGTATGTGAAAGATGTTTTTGAACACTAACTAGAAACACTCAAACAACGCCCTGTAGTATTTCAATGGCAGATCGGCGATATGTCATATTTTTTACACACCTCAAGTACACACTAACACTTTTTTTAAAGTATAAAACTATCACTATTACTTGCAAACACCTTTCACCTGATGGTATATTCCCCTCATAAAAATTGAAGGTGTATGTGAAAGATGTTTTTGAACACTAACTAGAAACACTCAAACAACGCCCTGTAGTATTTCAATGGCAGATCGGCGATATGTCATATTTTTTACACACCTCAAGTACACACTTACACTTTTTTTAAAGTATAAAACTATCACTATTACTTGCAAAACACCTTTCACCTGATGGTATATTCCCTCATAAAATTGAAGGTGTATGTGAAAGATGTTTTGAACACTAACTAGAAACACTCAAACAACTCTGTAGTATTTCAATGGCAGATCGGGCGATATGTCATATTTTTACACACCCTCAAGTACACACTAACACTTTTTTATAAAGTATAAAACTATCACTATTACTTGCAAACACCTTTCACCTGATGGTATATTCCCCTCATAAAAATTGAAGGTGTATGTGAAAGATGTTTTTGAACACTAACTAGAAACACTCAAACAACGCCCTGTAGTATTTCAATGGCAGATCGGCGATATGTCATATTTTTCACACACCTCAAATACACCCTAACAATTTTTTTGTAGTTATAAAAATATCACTATTACTTGCAAACACCTTTTAACTAAAGGTATATTTCCCTTCCAAAAATTAAACGAATAGGTGAAAGAAGTTTTTAGCGATATAATTTAGTCTTTCTTCGATGTGTACTGAGAATTGAAGCCAGTGAGCTACAACATGCCCACTTGAAACTTTACTACAAATTTACTGTACTAATACTGACACTAATAACAAGTATTTGACTCAAAATGAAGTGACAGAATAGGTAACTTATCTTCTACATGTAGGTTTTCAGTTGTCACAACACTCAGCGTATGTAATCAGCTGTTGAAAATAAACCGGGCTCAATCTTAAAAACTACGCTGCCGCCATATTGGCTGCACTGGTCACGTGACGAGCCGAGGCATAGCTTAGGAGCTTTCCGAGGAGTGACCACTCCCCCTTATAGAGTCTCCCTGCTTTATGTAAACATAATCATGGATGATTGGCCTGTCGAGCAACACTCATGACACCTACCAATTCTTTATTGTTATTTCTGCAAGTCGATTGAAAACCAGTTTTGACTCTCAACTAAACGATCTTGACACAAATGGATGGCGATATGTCCGCACACAAAAGGGTAGTGGTCGAAGCAAGTCCTCTGATTGGCTAACGCTTGCAAATCTGCACATTCTTTATAAATTCGAGGGAATTTTTACTTTCATCGACTGCTTGACCACACCCTCGTTTTGTGCCAACGAATACTTGCAAGTAAATCTTGAGATTAGCCATGTGATGATACGTTTAGCGAGCATCGGGATATTGGCAACTGTAATGTTAAAAGTGCCTTTACCTGACTGGGTTAGTTTGATTTTTGTATTTTTGGTTTATATTCTCTGTCCTGTCGTAGTCTGTGAATTCCCCAAGTAAGTATCGAGGTCCAAGTCGGAATCATCCCAGTGAATGAATTAAGTCGTCCATGGCCATGCCGAATGTTGAAAGAAATATTCCAGGCTTATGACGACACGCATTTCGCGAATGATACATGTTCTGCGATTTTGTCAGTTGACATGTGCAAATGAGAGATAAGATAAAAATCAAGATTATTGAAATCAGTTTAATGGAGCTGTCCATGTAATGCTAACTGTCAAACGCAGCCGGTGAAATCCCGCTAAGGGAATTAACTCTCGGTCCGGATATTACGCAATATTGTTTACGTGGTTACCAGAGTGCTCATTTGCGAATGTCTGCGCATTTGTTGCGCATGTGTACCGGCAGAGGGAAGTTAGCAGCAGGGTGTCGATGTGTATCAGTTACATGCCAGGCCGTAGCGCTGATGGTTAGTGATAAACTGTTGGGGAGGGCCGTCCCTCTATTATATGGTCTCTGGTTCTACCAACACTTTTATCAAAAGCTTTACCTACATCACTGAATACAGTTGTAATTTCTTTACTTTCATCTAGCGCACTGGCAATAAATTGATATAAGTATGTTAATTGATATACAGTAGAGTCTCCTGGCATAAAACCAGACTCTAAGTTTGAAAGTTTTATAGTTGTCTCCAAAATAATTAAAAATGTGCTTAAAAACACACTTTTTAAAAACCCGAACAAACCTGTAGAGGTTGCAGATTCTTTGAATACAGTCCTCCTTGGGGTACATATGAGCATTAAAATGTCTATTTTAAATCCCTACGACAGTTGTAACTATAATTTAAATAAAAATATTTACAAAACAAAAAGGTTTTGCCTTGTGAGACCACCCTTACAGGGCCCCACGGACCCGTAGTGGCCTAGAGCAGGTAACTCTAGGCTATAACTTCGTACCTCACTTTCCATGCTGAACGTAATCAGACAGAATGTGAGGAGGTGGGTGGCCATATCCCAGGTTTGTCTGTTTTTTTCATGGAGTTCCTCCTTGGGGTACATATAAGCATATAAGACAGACTCTTAAAGACTGAGTCTGGGGGCGGCATTCTGTCTGTAAGACTGACCTGAAACAAGAGGAATTCCTAACTATAGATAGAATAAGAAATCTCACTTACCTGGTCACGTGCCCACCGGAGCCAATCGGGTGGAAACATGAGCCAGGGTCAAGGGTCAAACTTTACTAACTTACATGCAACAATCGCAAATGTATACTGCTCGAAAGTATTCCCCCCTCCCAGAATGTATAGGAAGCGAGAATAGGGGGAAGCTGACAAGGGAAATTGTTCAAATGCAGTACATAGTAAAGCATGTTCATGGGATAAAAGACCACCACTGTCAAACCTGACACCAGGGAGAAAGGTAGAGAAGGTATTTTTTAAATAACCCAACACCAGTATGAAAAAGGGCAGATAACTGATTCTCTGTAAGGCCTCGAAAGCTCAATCGGTTAGGGAGGTTGCCCTAATCGAATGAGCTTTCAGACCTTCAGGTACGGTACGACCTTTGAGAGTATAGCCCAGACAAATGGCAGAGATAAGCTTCCTAGAAATGGTTTGCTTGTTCGCCAGAAGACCCGCCTTAACAACAAAACAACTGGTCATCCCCGTCATCCCCGATATAAGCCTTAAGGGTCTAAGAAGTGAGCACGCCGTAGAGAGGTACTGGGCGGGAAGGCTGAGTGAAAGCTGGGAGCTCAATAGGCGCTGTTAAATGAAGAGCACTATCTCTCTTAGGACGGTAAGTATCTGGCAAACGAATGCTAACCCTGTCTTTATGAAAAACAGTTAACGCGGGGTGGGCGGACATAGCATGAATATCGCCTGCCACAAGTTACCGCCACAAGAAAGGCTGCCTTCCACATTAACAGCTGGAGGGAAAGAGCCAATGGATTATGAAAAAGTAGACCGGACAGTCAATCAAGAACGATTGGCAGAGGGTGCTGCCCCAAGAGTGCACCATCAACAGGAATGTGGAATGACGAAATAGCCATAAAATATCCTCGAACAGTTGAAGCCGCTAGACCAGCTTCCAATCGAGACAGGAGGAATTCTAACACAGAGACTAAATCTGCAGAAAAGGGATCGAGAATCCCCTGCTGACATACCAGCATGCATAATAGGCCCATCTATCCTCATAATGAACGTTTGTCGAATCCCTCTGCGATGCCAGAATTGTGTGTGCAACTGGTGCAGGAATTCCTCTCGCTTCCTCTCCTGGGATTCGGGTGGGGCACTCTGATCTGGGATAGTAGGTCCGGTCGAAAGGGTAATAGTACAGGAGGCTGAGCCAGAAACCTGATGATTACCGGAAACCAGCTTTGAGCTGGCCACAGGGGTGCAAGGAGCACAAGAAGTTTAGCTGGTTGCGCGGCTTGCTGTGATAGTACTTTGGAAATCAGTGGTATCAGTGGGAACGCCCACAGTATTCTGTCCGTCCAATCGAGCTGTAAGGTTTCGTTGGATATTGCTCTTGGATCCGGAATCCGAGAACAAAACACTGGTATCTGGTTCGTCACCCTAGAGGCAAACAGATCCACCTGGAACGACCCAAACAACTGGGAGATAATCCTGAATATCCTCCGATCGATCATCCACTCATGTGGGGCTAGTATGTATGCCATGAGAACGTTGAACGTTGTCTACCCCAGGGAGATAAATAGGCAACACCCGAATGTTGAACTAGTCGCACCACAGAAGAAACTGCCACGCCTCCTGAAAGAAGTGACGGAGACATCGTGCCGCCTTGCTTCAGGAAGTCAAAGCCATCTGGTTGTCCATTTCTAGACGTACTACGCGGCCACAAACAAACTCCACAAAGCTCTCGAATACCCAGCGGACTGCTCTCAATTCTAGCACATTGATGTGCAGGCTCTGAGTGGGACCACAGCTGAGCTAACGCCTGCTGTACAGGTTGCATCCTCAGACACGCACGACAAACAACATGCACTGTCTCTGTCATGTTGCCTAGCAACCGAAGCCTCCGTGCTGAGATGATTCAAGAAAATGTAGCACAGTTCTCTGGATCTTGGTGATACGATTTGGAGCTAGGGAAACAATTCCCTGCTCCGTATTGAATCTTGCCAAGAACACCAGATCCTGCGTCGGAACGAGTTCTGATTTCTTGAGGCTGATAATCCAGCCCAGATCGACTGACATGAGCCAATCCCCTGTCTCGACAGATGAGATCACTGACCTGAGTTTCTCCATGCTGAAAGACGGCACCTCTATGAGTTTGTTTAGCCCTCTGAGATTCAGAATGGGTCTGAACCCTCCGTATTTCTTGGTCACTAGGAAGGAAGTGGAGTAAAACCCATCTCCCTGCTGACTTTCCAGAACCACCTCGATGGCTGCCTTGTCCAGTAAAGACCTCGCCACGGAGCGCTTCCACCTTCTCTCTTTAGGCTGGCATGGGCGTGTGCCAAACCCCAGAGAAGGACGATGGATCTTGCCTCAACTGTGGCAAATGGCCATCCCTGAGTGTGGACAGGACCCAGGGATTTGATGTGGCTGCCTCCCACTCCCGAAAGAATAGAGACAGTCGGCCGCCTACAAGAGGCAGGAGGCAATGCACCCCCACAGTCGGCAAGTCTCCGCTTGCTTGTGCTGAGGGCACTAAGGGGTCTGGGGTAAGATTTAACGGGAAGCCGGGTCTGGCTTCCCCTTGCCCCGAAAAGGCTGCTGCGAATGAGCAGGCCCACCCTTACCTCTGGCGAGAAGTGGAGGTGTGCTCTAACAAGGGTTTAGAATCCTTGAAAGTAGACACGACCTCCCCAGCCTCCACTTGCAAAGCCCCAGGGAATAGGGAAGACCCCATTGTGAAAGGCAATGAAAGTAGCGCCTGCTGCATGGCCGGTGAATAGCGCGACCCCGAAAGCCACAGCCTACGCAGGCCCATGACCGCGCCCATCATCTGACTGGCACAGCACCTAATACTGTCCCGAGCCAGAAGGGAATGGACGTCGGTAAGCTGCCGCGCAAGTACAGGTGACTACAAGTCGTCCCCACTTGGTCCCTGTTCCACAAAAGCCGACAGGTAGCCTGAGTGGACCGCCACATGTACTTGCTGTGCCTCACATCGTAAACCTCCTCAAAGGAACGGTATCCAGACTTGAGTGCGGGAGTGCTGGGCGGAAAGGACGGCAGCCACTGGCCCCGCCTTGCCGGAGCCAGGGAGGAAATGCAGGACCCCCCAAAGGTAACAGAGGTAAACCCGCTGCCGGGGCCGCACTCATCCACCACTGGTGGCTCGAATAACGCCTCCATCCCTAACTGGTAACGTTTGGCAATGTCCAGTAGATCAAAACGTGAACAAGAACCAGTCAAAAGAGGATTAACTACCTCACTCATCAGTGATGGTAGAATACGCTGACACGCCTCAGTAACCCGGCTGGGCGCAAAAGCCTCCCCCCAGGAGCCGAAATTCCACAAGATCAGGCTCCTGCACAGGGACAGCTACCTGAGGCAACATTTCCGCTATTTTCTCATGGACCTGCCTCAGGGACGACCCGAAGGAGTACGGGACCTCCACCTCACTTAGGCACTTAAAGAAGACATACAGTAAAATTCTGATATCAAAACATTTATAAAGCATAGAAAAACAAGTATCTTGAAGAAGAATTTATTTTTAAAGTCTCCATTTGTATCCAGAAATGTTGAAAAACGACTCATGTTGCAGACACTATCGAGAATTAATGAGTTGCCATCACGTGTCCGCATGTTATAGTGGACGTACTTAATTGATAAATAGGATATCAGTGGCTGATATTTAGATAACACTTTATTAGTCTTGACCCAAAACATCCGTCATATCACAGACTACCATATATTAGAGTGAGTGAGTGAGTGAGTGAGTAAGCTGATGAAGCCAGTGAGTATGACAAAGGAAAGGCATGGAAGCCAATGATGTACAAGTTATGAGATGTTTTTACAGTGGAGTTTATACAGTAGATTGGGCTTGGTGGATGAGTGCATCATAAGCGGATGGAATGAAGTATCCTTGGTCTCGGATGATGGTGGGCTTTTAGCATTTGATGTGGACGGCTTCGGTGAGCTTGCGTTTAGTGGAGTCTGTTTGATTGTTAGGAGATGAATTTTCACATAAATATTTGCGTAATTTATGCAGATATGCAGCTTATCTGTACCTCTGGAGAGACACACCAAAACTCAAACAAGGAATGAAATGAACAAAAACATTATATAAAGGCACTATATCACATCAAACTTCTCTAAAAATAAATAATGCATTTCTCTAAAAAATACTAACTATCAACCCTCAGGGAAGCTACCATATAATTCATTCCCAAAAAATTTACATATTTAGATTACAGTATCAAATTAAAAAGTTTGAATGAATTAATGCAATGTTGCATTAAATCGACTCTCACGCCCTCAACCAGCCAAACATTATTTCAAGCGAACCCCATACAGTTATGTCCCTTGAACGCTCTTTACGAATATATCTTACGCACAACTTGTGATTGAAACCTGTTCGGCAAACACTGACAACACTGCATATGGCAGTTTTCGATGTACAGAACAATTGTTTACATTCCATATATGGCAAGTGTTCTATGATTGGAAGCTGTTCGCCTTTAAGTTTCAATTATTAATTCCTACAAGACACATTTTTGAGTGGCATTTTAGAAGCTGGGAAGTACAAAATTGACGAACTTTATGGATAACAACTTTTTTATTTTGAGAGTGCGACAATTTGATACAGGTTCTTGCACCGTTGTGTCAAGCAGGAATGTAACATGCAGTGGTGGCAAAGTATATATATACTGAAATACACATCACAGAACTAGAAGAGAAAGCACTACAGACTTCACCTGTCAAACAAACCTGCTGGTACCGGAAAGTGGATGATACTTTCATCATCCTCCAACCTGATCATGATCCCGCCCAACTTCTGGCCGATCTAAACAACCAACACTCCTGCATCAAATTTACGATGGAGACTGAGCAGAACAACCAACTACCCCTCCTTAACGTCCTTGTATCCCACACCTCCTCCAACCATCTAGAATTAAACCACTATCCAGCCCAAATAGTCCACAGAACCATCGCTGCTACACTGTCACCTCCCTCCCAAAGACCCAAACCTGATTCAGCCCCCATCAAGATCTCTATTCCCTACATTGGTAAACCATCACATTAAATTAGCCGACTCGTAAAACAAGCAGGCATAGATACCACCTTCTCGCGTCCTCCAGCCTCAACAACCTTCTCCATGCCAACGGGAAGAAAACCTCCAACTATCGACAAAAATACCCGAAATGTGTGATTTACAAAATAAATTGTGATTGAGGACAGAGTTACATAGGTGAAACATCCCGACCCGTCAACACCCGTGTGAAAGAACACCAGCCCTCCGTCACCAAGTCCGACAGCAAATCAGCCATTTCTGATCACATCCAATCTAACCCTAAACACCACATAAACTGGACTGACATCACCATACTGGCCAACAACCAAAAGGACTTTACCAAACGTAAACTCCACAGTCACTGGCCTGACTGGGTAGTGAATTTTCATGGGGTCATTTAGTGAGTGAGTTTGGTTTTATGCCGCTTTTTAGCAATATTCCAGCAATATGACAGTGCGGGACACCAGAAATGGGCTTCACACATTGTACCCGTGTAGGGAATCGAACGCTTTAACAACTAGGCTACCCCACCGCCCTATGACATATTAAGCTATAAAACACTTTAAAAATCATGCAAGATTATGGCCTGATAAAAAATGTTCATGATATTAGTAGCTTAATAATAAAACCTGTGTCATGCCGACAATGTCTTATTCTCATCTATTTTTGAAATGTATTGCTTAGTTTCTACATTCAAATTTCAGGCATAGCTAGCCCGAACAGCCAACAAAAGTTGGAAACTATTGCGCACACTGATAATAAGTCTTTAATTGCATCAATAGGAAGCTTAAGTGAGTGCATATACCCCAATATATATAACATAGGCTAAAATATGGAATGAAATAAAACCTACCACACTATAATTTTTCAAAAATGTATGACACATTCTTATTGTCTATCCCTATAACATTTGTTTGTCACATAACAACCCATTTGGACAACGCTAGACCTGCCTCCAACAGTAATGGTCAATGATAAACATATATCCAATGAAACACACATATGCTTATCCAATAAAACTGACAAACACCTTTTTCACTTTGTCCTTTACCTACAATAATGAGTTTCTAGGGCAATAATATTGTTTGTATTAAATATGTCTAACACATCTTTATTAGATGAGCTCTCAAAATTCAAATGCACAAGACAATGCTGTATCCAAAATTTCCTCCTTACTAAACTGGTCCTTATGCTTCAAAGTGTGAAGAAATGATACTGGGTACCTTTTTTTCATTGACTGAGACACCCCCACACATCACAATATTTTATCTGGCAGATGTCTCTCTACAATGAAGTCACCATCCAAACTTGGCCAAGGCTGGGATTACAAAAGGCGATATGTTCAATCGAAACATCCGTCTTCAGGGTCTTACCTTGACTGACAAAGTTAGGATCCAGGGGACGGCTATTAATAAGATTAATGAGTCTTTGCTGTAACATATGTTATATATTTGTGCATTACACTTTCTTAGTAAAGTACAGATTCTAATACTTTTGTTGGGTTGAGTCCCATCTGGGATTTGAACCCATACCTTCAGGCACCTAATCTCCAGCACACAAAGTCAGCCACCTAACCCGCTCAGCCCCCTCAACTTCCACTCATAAGCATGGCAATGTAACTGACAATGAAGAGATCATTATCAGGTGATCAGTTCTACTGGCACTAAGTTCAGAAGAAAGATGAGCAGTTTTTACCCATTTGTATGTCAGCTGAATATTTGTCAGAACTGAATTCACATTTCAGTGTCAATTGACAGTTTGTGAAACACAAAGACCAGACAGAATAGTTGACAGGTAATGATGTGTTCATAAGCAAATTATTAGATAATCAAACACAGAAGATAACCACCACATGGAAGCTTTACACAATCGCCTTGTCCATGAGACAGTCAGCCTCTGTATACTATCACCAGTGTATGAAATAAGCCCAAAACCCAGCCAGACATCAGGGCTGGTAACTTCAAAATGTTACCAGACCAGACACCAAGATATGGTGAATTTACACAGATGTATGGAACATCTAAATATGTTATCAGACCATCGTGCTGGCTAGCTGTAAATTTAGACCGTCCGTCAGAAATCTCGGGCGGTCAGACGGGCCTTATTTCATACACTGCTATCACTCATGCACACCTGTTACTACATCTGTGTATTCCATCCACGCTATTTACCAAATAAAACAGAATGTATATGTTACAGGGAATGTGTGAAACCAGGGATTTCACGTAATCCCTAAAAGATTCAGTGATTTTGTGACCCCAAGGGATTTCATTTATTCCCTAAAATTTCAAGGGATTTAATGAAATTACTGATTTTCATGGTGTTCCATTACACACAATCCCTGTTATGATATCAGTGAATATGTGAAATCAATGTTTGTAGCTTAAAACTTTACTGTCGAGTCTCATTTCATCCCTAAGTTCTTAGGAGTTGAAAACTTTGACAACTTACCAATGACCTTTTTGACTAATTACTACCTTGAGTCGGGGTATCAAGTTTATTTACTCACGGCTTTACTGTTTAGTCTCATTTCACCCCTTAGGTCTTAGGAGTTGAAAACTTTACTATTTACTGATGACACTAAGCCAAGCTAAGAGGGGGAAATCACCGGGTTTTGATAATATTCCAGCTGATGTTTTGACAAATGACATCTGTATAGATTATCTTCATAAACTGTTTTCTACATGTTATGAGACTGGTCATGTACCCTCCAACTGGGCCCAGGGGATCATTACCTCTATCCCTAAGTCTGGAGCAGTAGTAATAGAGGGGGCTTTGCCACAGATGCAGCTTAGAGGCTTATTTTTATGAAATAAGTTCCCCAGCCCCCCTTAAAAACGGTAATGGTCTAGCGAGAGGCATCCTTTCATGTGCCAAGATCGAAAGGTTAAAAAAGTAGCAAAATGTCCCCGGCAGCCACAATTCCCCAAGGGATGAAATCGAAAGATTGATGGTAGCGCATTTTCTCCCAAGGGGAATTGCATCGACTGCCTTTCTCTCGCCATGAGAGTGCCCAGCTAGACCCAACTGATGTGATCCTCATTCCTTACCCGAAACACCACCACCACCACTGAAAGTTGCAAGGAATCCACTGAGGCAATGGCGGGATACGAACTGATAATGTATAGCCGCGCAAACTGTACATTATAAGCCCCCACCAGTCAACCAATCACGCTACCAGGGACTTCGACAGCTTAATTTCGGTTTAACGGGTCTATCATGAGATTGCATCCTCCTCTTAAACCGGGCTCCGTCTATAGTAAAAAGGATGTCTGAAACCCGTCATTCCACTTCCGCTTCAATGAGATTGCTCACTTTGAACACGTTTGTTGGCTTTTTCACCTCGAATTCATGTCTCATAAAATACAAACACAATGCCCGTAGGTAGTTTCAACCACGCTGAATATGACCTTTATGACCCAACACTGCCGCTGTTACAGGTCATTGGCTCCTTCCCTCTGCAAGCATTCTGCGTTCTGCTGTTTATTTTGTTGACAGTTACATAGACAGATTCTTTAATACAAATGCATAAAATCGGTGATTTACAATGTGATTAGGTTGTCTGACAAAACATCCACTTGCACAGTTTGAGATCGATTGGGTCATTAGATGAAGAGATATTTACAAAAAACCGGGTCCACATGCATTTCATGCCAAACTATACCTTGTACGTTTTCATGGATAATATTGGATCGGTGGCGCGTTTTCTGCTGTCTCCCTCGTATTCGGCAGGTTGGTATAAGTATCTAACGCTGACACAGTCCGGTAACGTTTTCTCCATTATATCGCGACGTCGTGCCGCCGCCGGTGACGATTCGACGGATCTCATTTTGATGGCTTCGACAGGCCTCTTGCCCACGAGTCTGGTGACTTCGTTGTTGTTGGCATCCACCACTCGCGGCAAGTGCACGACACATTCCGTGTTTCTGTTTTTGGGATCCATCAAATCCTGCGAGTACTGATGTAAGAATAGGCGCTCGGCTAGGGTGAGATTGAATCTCTCGACAATGGCTTGGCTGCGGTGAGCTCCCGCTATGCCTCGTCTCACCCGTACTTTGTGTTTGGCCAGCAGCTGCGTCACGGTTCCCATGAACTCGCGTCCGGGATCGACTTGCAATACGTCAAGCCAGGTCAAGCGACTGCGTTTGTAGATGCGTTCCAAGGCTTCTGAGACTTTGTTCGATTCTTTGGTTGTCAACGTTTTGGCTTCCTTGTAGCGACTGGTGACGTAGACGATTGTCAGGGCGTACTTGTAGGTTTTGCGTCTCACCCGGTCGTGAGGTAGAAACAGGAGGTCGGCTTGGTGGGCGTGATTCGGCGTCGAAATGCCAAATTTTCTTCTCGGGAAATACCGAGGCACCGGCAGGTAGACTTGCCAGATGGCTTGTTTTTTTAGCCAGGCTTTGGCTTTCTCTTCCGAGACTCGAGTGGCTTTGGCGAGTTTCGGGATGGCATCAGCACCTTTCCAGTACCCACACAGGCTGTAGTATATTTTCTCCATCATGTATGTATTGCCTGCGTGTTACTTATTTAATACAGACGCGTGTGTCCGTATGCGTAGGTGGTGACTCCGTCGTCGGCAATCCATCGTTTCATGTCCATGCACCTTAGTTTTGGTATGTAACTCTTGTAACAAGTGGTCATACTACTATTATGTGCGCACTGTGCATTACGTCACATATTACGTCATCTGTTTGTGTGTACCCACCATGAGTAACAAGGGACATGTATTAAAGAACACTGGAACTAACAACGCCAGGTCGTTCTTCTTAGTCTTCATTTACTCAGGTAAATGATGCACTTTAAACAACTCTAGGCAAATGACATTTTTAAACATATATACAAAAACAAACTATTTCAACAACTTGGACACAATTTTAGTGCACATGTAGCAGGGTGTGGAGTCATCCCACAGATGACATCCTTACCTTGTCAGCTTGCTGACGGGGTTAACCTCTTTTGTCATGTGGACAAGGCGTCCGACTTCGGATAAGAAAGTCCCTGGTTCGAATCCCTGCACGGGACTCGGACATTTTATGGCCGTTACATTGGCACCCAACGTGGGGCTGAGCACGTTCATATAAAATTTAAAGGTCACATGTCACGTAAAACACAACTTTGCAGATTCTGATACCTTTCGGTATGGACTTACCGAAACAAATCGTCAAAAATGCAAATTCAACTTATAAAGTTGAAAAATAACGCGATGAAAAAACCAGCTCGAAATCGGAGTTTCAAACGATTCACTAACTTTCCCCCAGCGCTTGGGGGAATTCAAGTGGTTTCAACAGCTGGGCTGCGCTCATAGCACATGCGCAGTGAAATAGGTTCGCGGAGCTTGGAAGCGGGTTGTCCCGTGAATATTCGGTGAAGGCTTTGGTGTGAGCTGATATTTCACAGGCGCGACCTTTTTATATGTTATTACAGTAGATTACCGATTTAACTGTTTATATAATTTCATTGGTCTATTTCACCACACGCTTTTCTTAACGAGTCACTTTCTCAGTTCGATACTTAAAACCAATGTCATTATTAACATCGACAGAATTTTTTAACTGTGATATAGATATGTCGTTGTTACAGACAAAACTCAAATTGAGTTTTATTGGCACCTATGTGTCTGCCTGCCCGTCTTCTAATGACAATATTCAATACACAATTTCAATCACTGACCACATGCAATTTGAACTTAACACCTATCAGGCTATACACCATAAACAAAACGCATTGATTTATGGCCCGAGTTCGGTCTCTGTCACATTATGTAATTACACAGACAGGCAGGTGTGATACTTGTACACATGACATGTTATGATGTCTGTTGATTGCAAAATGTTATACACAAAAAATGAGCATGTATTTACAAAACCCAACATCTCTATATATACTCACAATGAGCCGTGAGGGAATCTGCAAATGAACCAGCCGTTACACTTGAGTGCACACCCACCCGCTCTGACTGGGTTCGGTATCCCGGCTGCTTCGTTTCTTGGGAAGTAAACCCAAGTACAAAATATTGCACTTTTGATTTGCGATTGTACGCTTAGAATTTTGTTTTTATGTTTTTTCATAACCAGCAATGTATATTATATGTCATGAATAAGTGATAATTGTGTTTTAATTATGTTTGATTTTTTGGTTGCATGTGACCTTTAAGCAAAATAAGTCTCAGTACCCAACTATGCAACTCATGATGTGCCTTCTGTTGACAGGGTGTATGTAGCAGGGCGTGGAGTCATCTCACAGATGACATCCTTACCTAATCAGCTTGCTGACGGGGTTAACCTCTCTGGTCATGTGGACAAGGCGTCCGACTTTGGATAAGAAGGCCTGTGGTTCGAATCCCAGCACGGGACTTGGACATTTTATGGCCGCTACACACAGATCTTGGAATACCTACATCGTTCATTTCAGCAATGTCATTTCATTGTTTCTCTTGGCAAACACAAAAAAGTTTAAATGGTATATTTTGCCATGGCATAATTTTAAACAGCACAACAACTAGGTTTCAATGTAGTTCAAGCTAGCTGTGTTCGATACAGACTTGTTGGTGAGTACCTTCATTACATATTCCAATTCAGTACACTGTAGTCATATCTACAGGTTACACAGTTCTACACTGAAAATACAGCATGTCTATCTTCTAATAGCATACTTAGGTTATTGGTTGTAAGCAGTTATGAGTATCAAAGTGCCCTTTGTCTTATATACGCATACTTACTTTGATGTTTGCAGTGAGTGCCTTGCCTTCTTCATCTTTGTTCATAAGCTTCATACCTCGCAATGCATCCATAGCCTTGACAAAACTAATGTACTCCTTGAATTGAACATAAGCATCAAACGTGAGATCTTGACCATAACAAAATGTCTGTATAGACCCTGGTTTTGTGGCAGCAATAATTTCCTTCCTGTATGGGTCTAACATGGGAATATCCACACATCGAACCTCTCCAAACACTTCAAACACCCTCCTAAGCACCTGCTCACTTGGCTTGTCCTTCTTTGAATCCTTTCTTGAAGCAAACCATCTTGTTGGCAATTCTTTGAAGTGAATGGTATCCGGTCTTTCCCCACTTTTCATCTCATTCATATTTTTGCATCACGGAAATATGAATCCCAATCATGTCTTAGAGGAAAACTTATCTTTGCTTCTGCAGCTCTTACTTTTAAGCTATCAGGAAATCCACTTAGCTTGATCGCTTTCCCATCAAGTTTTGCGATCAACAATTTTATTTTCCCTTTGTTTTCGATTTCACCCTCTAACCGAATGAACTCCAAAGAACTTTTCACAATTTTAATGTGATAAATATTTCTGGTCTGATCATATGTTTTACCTTTTCCATAACCTCCCAGTTAGATATACTCTTCCCAGGTGTCTTTAACTGTGGAAGTTGGACACAGACATTAAGTTTAGCTATAGGCTTGAGATAAAGCTTCATCGGTTCATGAAGTTCCACTGCCTCCGAAGTGTCATTACAAACTGTCGTGTTTGACATTTTCTTCGTTTTGGCACATGCACAGTCACAAGTCACAAATGGTCAAACAAAACATTGGCTTTTCTTTCGCTACAGACAATCCAGTGTTTTATACAAAGCGCTCTTGACTTATACACAGCACGTAGGACGTTACTGCAGTTTTACATTTAGAAATTCACTACCGTGACTTTTATTCAGCTTACTGAAAACCATTCATTGTTTGAGAAGAACATATCCCTTGAGGTATAAGCTGCGCCTGTCTAAAACGACCCTGTTCCAAAACCGCCCAACATTTCATACTGGAAAATGATACTTACAATTAGGGTGCAGGCTAAAACGGAACCACAGCAAAACGGCACCAGGCGAAAACGGCACCATTTGGATATAACGGAACCTCGACTTGGCGAAAACGGCTACAAAACGTATGGTGAAAACGGCACCAAATAAAATTCTAATTGTTGGGAACATCTTATTTGTCATTATTTGTCATTAGATAATCTGAATACAGAATTTTGGAAGCCGTCTACTCTGCCGACAGTGATTGGAAAGTTTGTGTTAGCTGATAATCGGATTCCAGTATGTTTAGATAATGAATGAGTCTGACTGATAATCGGCTTGTAGAATGTTTCGATAGTCAAAACATCTACTGTGCCGAGAGTGATTGGAAAAGCCTGTAAATTTAGCGTGAAAACATCACAACCTTTGATGTTTTAAGTACATTTACTCAACTCAAATCGCCCAAACTCAGTGTCAAAATGAAACTGTATTTAAAACGCAAGAATGTACACATTACATATCATTCATCACAATGCCTCACCACTGTGTTGTATGCGATAAGACTGTCAGGAAAAATCAACATGCCGTATCTTGTGACGAGTGTGATTTATGGACTCATCGTGTTTGTGGTACCGGCCTGTCTGTATCACGGTACCGTGAGATTTGTCAAAATGAAGAGGATTTTCGTTTCGTATGTGTTCGCTGTCGCGGAAATACATTTGACAACATGATGGACACAGTGAACTTTCATGTAAGTTTGGAATCGGACACCACCTTACCAACTGTCGAACAACCCCCTACCCTAGAAGAAGACATGGATGCTGAGGATGCTGAGGATGAAGGAAGGGTTCCCGACCTGTCGGACATCAATATTTCAACAGCGTCATTGCCACCACAAGACGACCATGATATCAACCATTCCGTGGTAGACCGCACCCTTCTCGACCCCCCTACTGCTTATATCCCGGACAACGAGTACACAATCGTGGAGATTGGTTCTCAGAAAGGAAAGAAGAAGCTGGTCGATTCATATGGATTCACATATGTAATTCGGGTAAGTCAATTTTCCTAAATATTAAACTTCATAAATGTTATATATAATAAATAATGTATAAGTAATAAATACATAATATATAAATAAATTGAATGTAATAATATTGTTTTGTAACAGAAATCAACAACTGCCCGAGCTTACTGGCGCTGCAGCGTCAGGAACAAGACGACCACGTGTCCTGCATCTGTTATACAGTTCGGGGCTTCATTTCAAGAGGGGAAACACCGCCATTGCCATCCACCCCAACCAGGCCAGTTGACAGCAATCCGAGTGAGAGTGGAGGTATTTATCGTGTTTGTTTAATAATTGACAGTCACGACAGTTCGAATTGTGGAGTTCATTCAAGGATGGAGACCTGTCGCTATCGCAGCTGCTGTCAAGATGTGCGATGATCCATGGACCAGTCGTTTAGTGAAGACATCATGAAGACGTGTATATGTTGACGTGTACAATTCATGAAGACATTCGGCCAAATAAGCCTCCGGCCACATATGGAACATATGTTGACGATGTGTTATGGTCTTTATTATAATCTTGTTATTTTAATGTAATGGTTGATTGAGTGAGTTATGATTTTACGCCGTTTTTAGCAATATTCCAGCTATACCGCGTGTTATTATCTTGCTGAAATAAAAACCATAAGTCAATATCATACTGTGTTTTTTTATATGTTGATTCTAATGTTATAATTAAACCAAACTAAACATCAAAGTCAACATCATACTGTGTTTTGTATATGGTGCCGTTTTAGCTCCGAAATCAGTGGCCGTTTTCGCGAATACGTAGCCGTTTTCGCCGCACGATTTTGGTGCCGTTCTGCTGTGGTTCCGTTTTAGCTATAACCCTACAATTACCGGAATAAAACGGCCCCATAAAAAAAATAAACAGTGAATATGATAGAAACTCTGTATTTTTTATTTACTACATTACTCAGACATTTATAACATGATCATGTAAACAACGTCCTACATTCAAATAAGTCGTCATTAATATATGCAGCAAGCAGCTTCAAGGGAACTCCTCCATTATGACCAAGGAATCAGGCTAAAACAGCAATACATCAAAACGGCACCAATAGACTGACTAAAACCTGACCAAAGAGTAATATACTAAAACTTGATTACAGTCTTATACAGAACATGAAGACGAAACATGCCTTTCCCGGTAAATAACCTCCATCGTTCACAGATGTCCAACTGTACCCAAAGAAGTGAGTTCAAATCAAATTTATATTCAACAATATTATATATGATAACTACGACTTCACACCTAGCAGAAGAGTCTTTCGACTACAGTCAGTTCATCAACAGTAATTATGGTAAAGTGGAGAGATTCCCATAATCAAACTTGAAATAAAGCCGAATAATTTAAAATGCCCTATTCGAGAGTAGGAGAAACACTTTTTGACCAAAACTAAAATAGGTGAGAAGCTTTCTACAGCGTTCTCTCTTCTGTGTTATAATCTCCACAAGGTTTTACGACAAAAGAGATGATTTTAACTTCCCCAAAGTCAGCTTTCCTTTCATATTCCAACAGACCCAGCCTTTGGTGTTTACATTTCACAACTTTGGAGATACAATCGAACATGTTCTTCTCACCAAGTTTTCAAGGAGCGTCTACTACCACTCTTGCTCAGAAGTTTTGTTTTTTATCATCTTTTTATTCATTTCAGAAGTTACAAAAATGATGCCCGATGCAATTCCTTATTTTGACGTATACCATCCGTTCCCGAATTATTTCAGGCGAACAATCAACTGTCTAGACTTTGCATATGTTTATGACGGGTGCCACCGGTGGGGAAGGATACGCTTGTAGCGACCAGAACTGGGATACGACCAGAACTGAATAAACAGTCCACAATTTCGTGAAACCCGATTTGCTGCGGTACTGCTCCCGGCTAACGCTAAAACTTAAAGCCACTGATGTGCGGAATATGATTTGCTTCTTGTTTTTTTAGAAGAAATACAAATTAACATTTACCATTTCCAGATTCATTTTCGAATATGTAACCCTAATTGTTTCTCCACTATATGGAAATTAAGTTTTCTTAATTAAGTTTTCTTAATTATTTTATACTTGTCAACCGTATTATTCATTTGCATATATGGGACGATTAATTGTGTTATTTTAAAATGGAAACAAAATGTCATCCTGTTTGAAAAGGATTATCTGAAATGAATTCTGTTTCTTCATCACTTTGTGGTCACAATAATACCACAGAATCGTATACATTATTTAAAATATTTCAAACACTAATTTGTGTTTCTGAAATAATTTTGATTGTAATTAGGTGTGAATATTTTTTTCCATATTCGGGTGTTTGTCAACTTATTTGCTGCACTTATACCTGTGTCTATTTTCTAAATGACTTGCGTCGTTCAACTGAATGCGGCTCAGGGTTGAGACCAAACAAATTACATGAAATAAAGTTTTGAGAACAAAATACTAGGATGGATGAACATCACACAGAACTCCACACAGAATGAAAGACAGGAGAGGTGTTATATATAAGGCTAAAATCGTCACGCTTTTCGGTTCAATGAGTGTAGCCTTTGCGGTACTTGCAATACAATGTTATGGCTGAATGAACACAGCGCGCCTCACTCGGAGGCTCTGACAAAGTACAGAGAAAATAGGATTAACGGGGACGCTCTTCAATTTGAACACATATAAAAATATAAATAAAGTTATGTACACATTTTCACGTCTATTCTCCATTACACATTTTCTTTAATTCGACATTAGATAGTTCATTTTGAGGAGTCTTTCCTAAAAGATAAATGTATACCTCACGAGTTTAAATCTTTAAATATGTTTCTACTTATGTATGCTGAAGATCTTGTTATTTTTCTGAATCTGTTGAAAGGTTGCAAACACAGTGGAAATCGTTGTCAGCTTATTCCACACGGTGGGAACTTGAAGTAAATATTGCTACAACAAAGATAATGGTCTTCGGAAGAGTTGGTAAAGTTAAATAGTCAGAACGTTGGTTATATATAATGGTTGTGTCCTAGAGGTTGTCGATACGTTTACATTTAGGAATAGGTTTTAATTATAATAACCGATTCTCAAAGGCATAGCTGCAGTTGTCTGACCAGGGTAGGATGGCCCCCTTTTCAATTTGCAATAATATCAGGTCGCTCTCTCTCAACCTGGAATGTATTTTATTTGTCTTTGATCGTTATGTTGGTAGTATACTATCTTATGCGTCTGAGATATGGGGGATATAATAAAGGCTTAAATTTTGAAAGGTTGCATTTGGATTTTTGCAAAAGGTTTTCAGGAGTTAAGAAGTAAGCATGTAATTCCATGGTTTATGCCGAGTTAGGTCGTTATCCGCTCATATGTAAAAGGCAATATAGCATGATTAAATATTGGTGTACGCTTCTTGTGTCTGAAAATAGCATTTTACAGGGTTGTTATGAGTATTTGTATGAGGAGGCGGAGACCTGTGGTGTAAGAAAATGGGCGTATCAGGTTAAAGATATTTTGGCGAACATTGGATTAACTGAATATGGTTAAGGCAGGAATTACCACTAGATTATCTAATAGTTATAAAACAAAGAAAAAATGATCAGGCTATTGAGTTTATCTTTAGTGATCTGTGCAACTCATCGAAAAGTGCAATTTATAAAAATATTATTATACAGTACAGAGTACAGATAACGGTAATTAACGAATTGTTTTGATAAGAAATCTATTTATTCCGACATGGATTATGCTTCCCGGCACCGTATCTTTAGCTTTGGCGGTACTCCCCTACACCGTGGAAATTAGCTCTCCCGGGAAATCCGAAATATACATTTTAGCCTTCCCGGGACATCTGAAAAATAAATTTTAGCCTTCCCAGAACCACACCGTTAAATAGCCACTGGCCCGCTAGCCCGTGGCTACCAAAAAATCCAGTCGGGCCAGTAAATCTTCACAGTCACTACAAAAAAAAGTGAATTTTCAAGGGTCATAAATATACCTCTCTCCGACTTGTTAAGTTATAATACACTTTTAGATCATGCAAGATTATGGCCTAATAAAAATGTTCACGATATTAGCAGCTTAATGGTGAAACCCGTGTCATGCCGACAACATATTATTCCCGTCTATCTTTTGCTTAGTTTCTACATTCAAATTTCGGATAGTGAATTATTTTGTAGACTATACATTTTCAGGCATAGCTAGCCCGACTGGCTAGCAAAATGTGGAAACCACACTGGAAAAATATATAACCATTATACACCTCTCCCCTCTCCTCCCTATATATATAATCCACACAGAGCGGCATGGAGGGTGTATATCAGATATATCACTTTCACCTCACAGAAAGAAATCGTGAGTTTAGTTTTACGCCACACTCAGCAATATTCCAGGTACACAGAGACGGTCTGTAAATAATCAAGTCTGCACCTGACAATCCAGTGGTCAATGGCATGAGGATCGATATACACAATTGGGATACTATGACATGTGTCAACCAAGTCAGCGAGCCTGACCACCCGGATCTTCACGGGTCCCAGAAAGAAGGCGGGAAGGGTCTGTATCTGGAATCAGTCTCTCTCTCTCTCTCTCTCTCTCTCTCTCTCTCTCTCTGTGTGTGTGTGTGTGTGGTGTGTGGTTGGGGATGGGGTTTGTCCGTAAGTGTTCAGTACAGCTCTCAGATCCATATACACAGGAGGGGTATCGGGGTATCATACGTTCTTCAGAATGCTACAGATTTAAGACACATGTATCCCCATAGCAGCTTAAAAGCCGTATCATATATTATTGATGCAATTAATGCAAGATTTGGAGTTTCCTGTACAAACGTGAACTAAACTATCAGAGCAGGAAGACTGTTATATAACTGCTCAAACATTCATGTACAAGTAACGTCAAATGACACCTTATTTATATCCGTAGTTACATCATAGTGATTTAGAAAGCAGAGACCGTGAGTGGAAGTTGCACTATTATTCCGAACATATCTACAAATATGTAGATATGAAACAATAGGTGTGATATATGTTCCCAAACGATACCGCAATAAGTCTGTTGGAGGAACTAATATTGTGGAACCCAGTTGATAGTATATGTATAGATTTAGCCTAAACCTCTTATGATCCATTGACACTGCAGTGTGTATAACAACGCTGCACACAGGTGAGACTGTAGTCACAGTGGTGTGGGGCGACTAGACATGGCCATACTTGGTGACATTGGAATGCTGCATCAATATTACCAAGTTATCAAAGCCTGGCCATGGAGTAGTTGAATATCGTCTCGGGACATTTCACAGAGACGATGAGTCGCAATCAATCAACAAACCAAATGTTTACCACCAGATGTTTTTCAGTTACCTCTTACGAAATAACGAGATAATGACAATATCACCTATATCACATCTTTATTGTTGGATGGTACTTTCAGTGACTGTTGGTTTACATGGGTACAGAGTCAGCCTCGTAGTTTAACTAATATAAATCTAAGCGGGCTGCACTGATTTACATGTTTGTGTTGTTTCTTATTGTTTGAGACAACCAACTCAAGCATGCACGCACACCTC